TCTTCCTGATAGCCCTTTGGGGGGGAAAAAAAATTGTCAAATACACCAGTGAGCTCTGGCAGCACCATGTCACCCAGGTCAGGCAAACTGGGCAGCACAGCTGGAGAAGGTTTACACCACAGTACTACTGGCTCATCATCTTATAGGATGGATCTGCCTTTAGGAAAATTCAAATCTTACTTGGAAAATCTCAGATCATTTAGTAACTATTGCCAGGAAATTTACTCTGTTTCTTAGTATTATTCTTCTGATGGCAGTAGCTGGTGGGATTATTAAATATTCATACACTTCTAAAATACTAGCCTGTGGTTTAAATTTGTTTGCAATTAAACTGGTTTAACTTGGGATTTATCTTTTAAAACCAAAAGCTATGCTCTCAAGGTACTGCTGTGCATGATGAGAAAAGGCTTGAGTTTATGCCTAATCCTAATACAGATTGCTTTACAAAGAGATTTATTTTGTTTACAAGATGTTTGCTTCATTAAAGCACATATTATTTATTTCCTGGCATACAATCAGCATTCTGTATGAACTGTATGTTAAGACAACACTGAACTGAACATTGTGACAGCTGTCACCGGAGTTGATATTCTCATAGCATTTCTATTTAGAGACCGTGTCTCAGATTGCGTATAGTTTTACATTGCTTTCACCTAACAGACTGAAATTTTCTTGACTCAAAGGTGGCTTTTCTTGTGAAGCACAAGCCACAATTATTCAGCTTCTTTTAAAGCAAAAAGAAATGAAAACAAGAGTGCTTTCCCCAGATTAAAAGTGCAGTTGTTATTTTAGAACTGGTGCAAGCAAAGTACATTTTGTAAACCAAACACAGGTACTTGTAGAATGAATTTCTTTTCAATAGAGGGTGTGTTAGCATCTAGCTTATAACCATTTTTGTGTTTCTACTCATGAGACTAATGCAAGTAAAAAGTGGAATTTTGGTCTGAACTATAAAAAATTTTTTTGCACTTTATAAGAACCATTGTATTTTATTTCACTGAGTTACATGCCTTTGAATTGCACTGTTTCTTCATTTGCAGTAGAGCAAGTATGATTTCATTTGCCTTTTTAGTGAAGCTCAGATGGCATTAGGCTGTAAAGCATTCACCTGTTGATTTAACCGCACAGGGAGCGATTCAGAATGAACCTTGGAGATGTGCTTGAGTACTCTACTTTTCACTGGACTACTTCTAAGATAGGGATTACTGAATGTAGAGACACATGGTGTTAGTAACGATGTCCGTGACTTGTCTGAATCTTCAAAGTGTAAATATAATAAACTCTTTGCTCATAGAGCCCTAATCTTTCCTGCTTATAAATCATGTTGAACTTTACTCAGGAACAACATGGTGCAAGTCAAGCTTGTTTGGTTTTCTATCAGCCTATGTTTATGAATAGTCAATATTTTTATTCTATAATATTTCATTTTATATATATACTGTATTTTTTGTTGTATAACATACATCCTTATATGTTAACCACTGAGAGTTATTAAAAATCAGCTGAACAAATAATGTAATTGTCTGTGAATTCACTCTGAAGTATCCTTATGGTTTATCTCCCTAAAGATAAGCTCAAATGTAGATGATTTTAGAAAGTGAGCTAAATCCTCCAGAAATCACTTTCCTTTTTATTAACTATGTCTTGTTTCATTGCAGGAGGGGTTCAAAATGGGATTAACTCTTGAAGGCACAGTATTTTGTCTTGACCCACTAGACAGCAGATGCTGATGCCAAGAAACTAAATGTGAATTTTCCGCGCAGTTTTTTTATTAATTCTGAACATGTATTCACAGATATTATCCATGTGCCAAAAATTGCTTTTTTTTTATCATGTAAACTCATGTGAGGTTTGTTTCTGTAAAAAATCCCACTTAGTTCCCATCTTTCCCTGTACAAATGTAAAAAGTTGTATTTGTTTATGAAATATGAATTAAATTACACTATTGTGTTTCATTCTCTCACATTTTGGCCCGAGTTTACTATGCTTTATGACTGTAAGCCTGGAGAAGTTCTTCAGAAAGCTCACACATACCTCTCTCCGTTTGCAGATGTGCAGGCATGATTTTTACATAATACTTTACCTGTCAGCATTTTGAAATTATGTTTTTAAGCCATTATTTAATATTCAAGCAGTAAAATGATTAATATCTAGTACAAAAAATTCAGATTGCAGTGAAAAAGAAAATACTAACCATTAATGTATGCTTCAAAGGCAAATCTGGATGCTGTGTAATTGATTTCCATTACTATGTAAGGTTACTATGCTGTATATATGTTGCTATTAGTTTATAAAATCCACCAGATTTTTAAGTTGTTAATTCACGTTTCAGAAACTAACAAATTGTTAGTATGCTAATCAGTGTTTAATGTGCATAGAATAACTGCTGAATTGCAGAGTGGACAAAGTAACTGCCCTTTGTTTTGATATTTTATAGCTGAACTGTAAAGTATGTGATTTGGGATTCATTACATGATAACCATAACTTAAAATGAGGATTATGGTCTTGCATTTACTTAGGAAGTTACATAATTTTGTGTGTAAGCAGGCACTCCCATTCACTGGGCTCAATTCTGTAAGTTACTTTCAACACGTGAGTCGGGCTCTGTTGAGTATTTTTTTCACTGTCTGCTTTAAATGTTATATGTCTTAATATAATTTTGAAGCTTGCTGCAAGAACTCAGTATAAGTTAATAGATCCTTCATACCCACTGGTTGTTCATGTTACAGAAATAACTACACACCAAAATTTTCAGCTTCTAGTGAGTTGAACGCTGACCTGTCTATGCATACTCTTCGTTAATCTTTAGCGTAAGCAATAAAATACCATCTTAAGCCTATCTCAGAAAATTATTATCATTAGTGTTTCGATGCTCAAACTCCACATTTGTTCAAAAAACTTTAAAAACTTTATTTTCCCATAAACATACAGATGTGGGAAAAAAACAAATTTCAGAATTTTTTAAAAAAATATTTTCTTTCCTTTTTCATTAGAGGTTTTTTGTGATACTTATGGTTTTGTCCTTAGTGGTTACAGTTTACACCAAAAATGCATTTTGCAAATTCATCATCACGTGTGTATCTTTATGCCTTGTTCAACAAAGTACTTCTGCATATACCTTTGAAGTCCACTGAAATGAACGGGATAATTCTTTTGCTGTGTTTGACATGTGCTCCAGTACCTTGCTGAATGAGGGCCTTCATGTTCTACATTGTATTAGTCTTCCTCTCTTGTTCTGTGTTCAGCCTCCATATAGAGTATTATATATAAATATATCTATTAAAATATATAAAATCACTAACAGATAGAATAGTCTATGTTTCATAAAGAAAAGTCTTTATAATTTTGTTTGTCATATAGTATTTTGGAATTTGTATAATGAGGATGTTTAGTAGCCACAGCAATGGCCTTTTTTAACAAATAGAATTTGTATTTTTATTGTACTTTAAAAAGCTTTACATAATAAGCATCTATTTAGTGATCATTTATTATCAATGGTAACACTAAGATAGTATTTGCACATTTTAAGAAACCTTTTTCGTTACTGATTTTTATGATTGCTGACTGCAAGTGGCATGGTTAAATATTACATACTTGGTCAATCCATATAAAAATACTGAAATAACACAAGAGTGCATTTTTAATGAAAAGGCTATGTGATCCAATTGGAAACTGTATTTCTATGTAATCTCAAATGTCTGTTTAATTTTGCCTAAAATAAATGTTTTTAAATAAATTGCATCCTAGAACATAATGGTCATTCAGTAAATGCCCAGTGGAGGGGAGGGCGGGGAGGTGCTTACATGTTGGGCAGGACCTGCCCCAAAGAATGGTTTAGTGCTGCAGTGTGTCAAAGCCACCTTATATGCTGGAAGGAATCAGATCTCAGCCAGCAGAGAATGACTCCAATGTTTGAGTTTATTGTTGAGTTTGGTCTAATCTATAACCAGCAGAGAAAAATTTTGTTATGTGTGCAGCTACCTAGTGCTAATAATTGGCGAGTAACTCTCTCCACAGTGCGTCATGGATTTAATGGAATCATTGCCTTTTTTTTTTTTTTAATACTTAGCTGTTCAATAGACTTAGTGACTAAATGACCTTACTGGTTATTTAAAGAGTAAAGGATGTACTTGAAGTCTTTCTGAATCCTAGAAAGCAACCTCTGTAAAGCCGGCGTGTTAATGGGGTAGGCTGCTGCATATGGTGTTGATGCTTTTAAGAAAACTAATCTTAAACCATCCGTTAATTGCTTCCATTGCAAAATTTCTCTTCAAGCTAATACTCAAAACCCATCTAACCTTTGTCATTTGTGGAAACGGGGCTTGGGCAGTTTATGGGAATGGACACTGTCAGGGCTAGCAAGGAAAGGGTGTGTGTAATCTCCTGTGACTTATAAACACAGCAGTTCTTTCTCAGCACGTCTCCATGCTCCCACTGGTATCGGTGTTTTACAGGTAGTGCAATAACATCATCTGTTAAATCTTCAGACTCTTGCTTTAAAAATACGTATTTGAGAACAGTACAAGGAGTCTAGGTCATTGCTCTTTCTCAGAACAGAAGTTTGTTTGTGGAAGCTTTCTTGTTACAAATTCTTACTCTTTCAGCTACCTGTTAAAAGCATAGTCTCTAAGCTTTCTTAAAAATAAAAGAAAAAAAAAGCTTGATAGCTGGTTTGGACTGAGAACATGAAGTGATTCTCCTAATTGTGTGATCATAGGCATTTGACTTGACAGAAGCCTGTAAAAAGAGAGTAACGTCATCTTCTAGGTTGGAGATACAGTGATAAATGCATTTTGAGGAAAACTTTTTTTGGACTTGTTAAATTTGCCCTCCAACAAAAATAAAATACCAGTACGTCTGGGTGCTGCTAGATTTGTCCATGTTTTTTTCTTCCTTTGGATATCTTTTCTTTCTCTTCTTATTTTTTTCATAAACTTCTTTAAGTTAAATGCTCATCTTGCTAACTGTGGCTGTATCCCTTTGTGGACGTGTAATACTAGATTTTGGTTCCACTTGTCAGGTGGACAGCTTCTGTTCTGGCATGTCATACCAAGCTATATTAACACCTTGAAGCAAGGTTCGTTGCTTTTTATTCCTTTTTTTTTTTGTATGATATGGACTATTTTTCTCTTCCTACCTGCTTGTTAAACCGTGCCTGAGTAACTGAGGTGCTTAGGTTAGAATTCTTCTTTAGTCAAATATGCTCATATGTGGTCAGTTTGTGTTTTCTCTTTTTAACCTTGGATAAATTACTGAGCATCTTTGCAGGATGTTCCTGGCTTAAGCCACTGTCAACTTCAGACGGGTTTGTAAGTGGCTGTATTTTGTCCTTCCACGTGACAGATGTGATTTGCACTAAACATATAATTGATCAAATTGGCAAAGATCAAATCCTTCATCTGGCAAAAGGAATTGCATTTCATTTTGGCTTCACTTATGGAAAGGAAGAAAGGAGAAAGAAAGTTCTCACACTTGCAGAAGTAAGTGGTTGCGTAATCCCAGAGGTGATTGCACTTGCCAAGGAGCGCGGCTGGCTCTGAGACTTCATTATGATGATTATTTTTCAATTTGTGGAACTAAGTACGGTCTCATTCTCACCAAGCAATTCTGCTTCACAAAAAGAGTCCCTTCTGCAAAGGAGTCTCACTGCCTGAGAGATCTCCAGTCAAACACCCAGAGCTCCTGTTTTCCTAATATCCCATCAATCACTGGAGATCGTCACCTTTTGGACACTCTCTTAAGGAATGTGTTAATCATTGTAGAGAAGCTCTCAACTTTCTTAATTTGACACTCTGGAGTATTGTTGTTGCTTTTAAAATTAGAGGATACAGAAGTCACACTTTAAAAAAAAAAAAAAAATCTCAGTAACTAGCCATATGTTTTAAAATACAACCAAAAGTGCCTGCTGGTAGGTGTTCTGTAAGCTTCAGCTAAAAGACAGCAAGTAAGCTTTCGTATGTAATTAGCCTGCTTTTTTTTCCGCCCCTTTCAAGACATACTCTTAATGAGAGACTGAGATGTGTTGCATTGTCAGGTGGTGAACAGTAGCAGTTCTCATCAATGAGACAGAGAACAGGATTTTAAATACATCATTTTGTTCGGTTATTTCAGAATGGTAGGGAACCTTTTGTCGAAATGGAACTCTGATATTTGTAATATATGCAGCATCCTTGAGATGCTTCAACATTGAGGGAGTGTCAGTGCATAGATAAAAGAAACTGCACGGTTATTTATTCATCAGACCAGAACACCTCCTGGAACTACAAGACTTTCAGTGGATTTCTTGGGTTGCATACATAATGTTTGCGTGTGATGGAGTAAAGGTTTTCTGAACATACAAATGTGCAATTTACCTTTTGTGTTTAAGAAATTTCCCAAGAGTCTGATTTTTATATAGTTTGGGATTAAAAACCCTGCAAGTTTAGTCTCCTAAAGTAGGTTCTGGAATGGATTGACCTATTTTAAGGCTCACATGAATGACAGAAACCAAAATTGGTATATTTGAGCTTTTGGGCTCCCTCCCCTTCCACATTTTCCACTATTTATTTTAGCAAAGCTTATGTCTTGCAATAAAGAATAAGAAGGAGCAGAAATAGATTAGAAAGTATAGAAGAAAATTAAATGGGAAAAAATGACATCTTGTGCCAACATCACACAAGTTAATAACATTGCATTTTTTTGTGAAACTTAACTGGTTTATTTCTCTTGTTCTGCCCCATCACTTTGTAT